CCCCAAAACCCCAAAACCCCAAAACCCCAAAACCCCAAAACCCCAAAACCCCAAAACCCCATGTGTGACTGATAATATTGAAGGTTTTCATCGGCATTTTTACTAGTAAACCCTGTGTTTATGACTTAGTATAAGGACTTAAGGGTGGAAATTTGTACACTTCTTATTGGAGGATGGCTAATAGAGGGAAAATTGAGATTCAATGCTTTTATGGATGTATTTTTAAGGGTTTAAGACCCGGAAAACATCAATAAATCCTTCATTTTTGCCTGCCGTCTTATCATTTGTAGGATCAGAATCCGTACTTCTTGTTTGGAAGGAATGTATTCGTATTTTGGTAGATCTGGTTTTTGTGAGAGTTGGTTAATGACAAAATTAGCCTTTGCTGTTATGCTCTTTGCCAGGTCTATTCTAAACAGAAATTCTTACCTTCACACTCGTGTATTAAATTTTCTAGCAGATTATGTAAATGCTGCTTCTCACTTAGGTCATCTCTGATTTTGTGAGGCTTTTTAAGAGAGCTTTTCTTCAAAGTTTTATTTCTTTTTCATAATAGTGACAACTTTCATTTGAGGACTTGCATTGCTTGGTACTTTCTAGCTAAATTAATCTCCCTAAAATTACCTTCTTAATCTTGATTTCCTCAATATACTCAAGTTCTGGTCCAGAGAAGCTATGGAACAGCTCCTGGTGTAGCTGTAAGGTCTGGTTCTTTAGTACATGTATCATCTCAGAAGGATCAAAATTGGGATGTTGTATCTTCCAGTAATTATAAAACTTCATTCCGTAAATATTATATCTGAACTTCAGGTAGTCATAGACCACACGAAGTTTATTCGTATCGCTAACCTTTGAGTAGTCAAATACCACTTTATTTATTCTTCTTGTTAAGTTTTGGCTTCTTTTTCTTCACTCACGAAAAGAATTCCTTCAGCTCAATGTCTATTAGCTTAAGGATATGATGAACTTTGACCCTTTTCCGCTGGATGAAGCTCCTGACTGATCTTTGGAGGTGGGTAATAACATCTATTGATTATAAGGAGAAAGTACCAGTATGAAACCTGAATTTATCCATTAATTGAATCTGGGAGTTACGATTACTCAAGAATTGATATAGAACCTCTTTGGCTCTCTCTTGATAAAAGTTTGAACAGAAGCTACTGGCTGCAGTGATAGTCTGTTTCGCATAGCCTTGAATTCTTTGGTCAAGTGTCCTTCCTAATTTATTTTTGTACTGTCTTATTCGAAGGTAAATAGTGACAATAGCCATATACTTAATACGTGCATACTCATCTTGCCTTTTCTTTTTCATTAATTTGCCGAATATAGTTTTTATGCTTTCTACAGATAAAAATGAGGCTACCATGACGAGTGTAAAGTAGGAACCATGATTTTACCCAACTTGAAAGCTTTTGAAGTAGTCTATTTTTCTTCTTCTCTTCCATCCTAGAACAAAATAATAAGAAAATCAGGTATGGGAAGATGAAATTACTTTGATTTATTTATACTCATCCCATCTATTTAACATTTTTCTCTTCTTTTGTTGGGAACTTTTCCAAATAAATTCCTTCTTAAGCTTAGCTTTCAAAGAGAATAGAGCTTGCACTTTGGGCATATTATCTCTTTTATGAGTTTCAAGAGCACAATGGTTAAGCAATTGGACCTTGTTAATTTCAAGGTAATTCTCTGCATCATCTTGCTGCATTCTGGCTAAGGATAAAACTGAGAACTCTCACCTCTACGTTGTCTGATATTATGAATCTCTCTTTTGAGATTGCTTACATCTCGATCATCACAGACAATAGACTCGATTTTATCATTCAGCTTATCACTTGCGGTGTAATTCCATTTATTTAGTATCAAGGTTAGCATTATCAACAAGGAAATTATCAGTCTGCTCCTGAATAACTTCCTTTGCAAACACTGGGTTTAGCAGGACGAATCAGTTTATCTCGGAGATGATGACAAAAATGACTACTTTTCAGCTGAAAACAGGCCCTTTTTCCTCAATTATGATCTTATTAGGCTTCACTTGGCATGAAACATTGGCGCCTAGGAGTCAATAGAGGCTTACTGCTCGGAATGCACTGGATCTCAAGTTTAGTACATGGAGATATTTCCATATGGATCGTCAAGGGTGACGTCTTTTGGAAAATATTTATACAAAATGTTGAAGGGTGGTGCCCAATACTGATCTTGGATTCCTTATTGTTTGGAATCTTATTTCATATTGGAGTCATCGTTTAGGCTATAGGTCAAGGCATGGAAATTACGAATTGATCTTGCTGAGCTCTTTATAAGCATTCTTAATATCTCTTCCTCTGTTTTGGATGAGGAAGGCTAGCTTGGCATGAGAGATAGTGTCCTTCTTGCTCTTTGGCCGAGATTGAGTAAGTTTTGATAGAGATTGCTTGCTCTCCATATTTTCTAGAAGTTTTAGGGAGGATTATTTGGGAATGAAGATTGAGCTTTTGAAGTCAAATATTTGAGATTGGGGTTACCTTTATGTGTGAAAGCAGAAATAGTCGAGTTATTAGCAATGTTTTTGTATTTTGTGGTGTTGATAGTGGAATAGTTCAAGTATTGTTTTTCTAAAGATCAGTTCTAGAAGAATACTTTCAAAGTTTGTAAATCCTTTGCTTGAGCTGAATGCAGATTGTGTAGAATTAGGCATAAAATTATTCTGCTTAATAGGACTATGATTCATCGATTTGATTTGCTTTAAATTCTATAAAATTATATAATTTCTAACTACCTGGAACTCAAAATTTTGGCTGATATTATGCTGACTTCTCAGAAACTTTGGATTCTTCAACCCAATAGACTCTCCAACACTTGACCTATGCATTACCCCATTAACTTACGTCTGAAATTGACTTGAGTGGGTCGTCTCTAATATCCTTCTCCTTCTACTATAACTCCCTTTCATCTTCCTAATCTGAGTGACCTATACCCCAAACTCACCACTCCTCTCCCTAATCCTTACCCTCCCTCTCTCCTTCTCCGCTCGCTTACTAATCCTCCCAGGGACAGTACTATTCGGCCTTCTCCTGTTCCTTCTCGATCTCATCTTTATATTCAAATTTATTTCAAATTTTAACTCAAAATTTGGGGTTTTGGGGTTTTGGGGTTTTGGGGTTTTGGGG